TTTTATAAAATTCACTTGTAAAACCATCTGGTCCAGGGCTTTTCTTGGTTGGAAGTTGTTGTATTGCCTTTTCAATTTCTTCTTTTGTAATGGGTCTGTAAAGATGATATTTTTTGTTTCTCAAGAACACTGCCACAATCACGTATCATAAGAGTCTCAGTTACTTAAAACTCAGTGCCGTTGAGTCATAAATTTTGAATGAAGCTGATAACTGTTCATCATCTTATAAAGCAACCGATGAATTCCAACAGTTTACCATACGTTAGTTCAGCAGTTTAATGGGCAAACAATAGGAGATCAGTGCCCACTAATTTTTTTTCTATTATGTTTTGATTGCTTTTCATGTCTTTTGTGATTTTTTAAACCATGCATTATTTAATTTACATATATTCGATCACCTGTTTGATGACGTCTGAATTTGTAAACTTCGGTTTTGATTATTGGTTGAATGGAGAACACCTTTAATCACAGGCCCTCTGACTGCCCCCTAGTGGGCGCGTGAGGCAGCGACCGGGAGCTGGTTGGCAGCTCTGGCAGCCAATCGGAGTCTTCGCTCCGCCCCTCCGCTGCCGCGCGCCCGCCCGAGCGGCTCACGCAGTCTCCCGGAAGTGCTCCCGGAGCGGTTCCGCGGGCTGAGGTGAACGCGAGGTGGGTCATCTTCACCTTAGGTCGGGTCGGGTGCAGTCCACGTCTGCGCTGAGGCCGCGGGGTTCTGGGGGCGCCGCGGGGCGAGGCTGGCGCGCGCTTGTGCATCTCGAAGCGAGTCTGTGTGGTTCGCGCGCACGGCGGCCTCCAGGGTGCGGGGTGGAGGGTGAGGCCGGGCTGCGGCGCCGTCCGCGGACGTGGACATTACCCGGGTAGGCGAGCAAGTGGGATGACTCCTGCCTGCTGTCCGCCCTGGGAACAAAGGGGTTCCTCGCCCCTGCTGTACTCTCGAAACTGCGCACTCCAGAAAGGGGGGGGGTCCCGATGGGACGCCGCTGGAGGAGCCGGGGTGACCCTTAATGCACGAAGTGGACCCTACTCAGTTTAGTGGGAGAAAGGAATCTGCCAGCTTCTGTCAAGATCTGTCATCTTGGAAACCCAGCGGGGACAAGGCTACCCCTTCCTGCAGGGTCGCTGTCAGAGTCAGAATCCACCTGGTGGCAAATAGGGTTTTGTAGAGCAATGGTGAGATTTAGAAATAAGCCTTCCATGCAGCTGTTAACTAACACAGAAGGTGCTCAGCAGATGTGTATGTGTGTACATTTAAAAGGCTTATTGTTTATATCACTAATAAGTATAACAGATGTTAATGTGGGATAATATTAATTTTATTAGGAGATCCTCAAAGTCATTGAGAGTAAACTGTAAATCCTCCATAAAGTAATTTCTTTCGTACATAGGAACATCGAGTCAAACGAATCGATTCCTAAAAACACATTTCTTTCTGTTACACAGGAATATAATACTTAAATAAGATGTAACTATTTTGTCATGTTGATAAACTCAAAGAGCTCATTTCTGTGGAGTCTGAACCAACTCAAGCCGACCCTCCTTGGGTTTCAGGGACTGTGACTCATACAGGAGGAGATTTTCTGTTTTTCCTGGTGATTTTGAACCCTCAGATGGGCGCCACCCTTGGCTTCACAGCGTAACTCCCAAGGAACTAGTCCACAGAGGGTCTCATAAGGTTGGTCCCATACATACATATACACTTGAGTGTGTGTGTCTGTATCTCCTGTCTAAACTGCTGCTTTAATTCATACACAGTATATTTGGATAAATTTGCAGATCCCTCCTATGCTATCTGAAGGCTTGTTGGTTAGTTCAAACACAGGGGAGAGATAGTAAAAGACACTTGCATATTTATTCATTTAACAAGTATTTTTAAATAACTAGCTTTCTCTCTCTTTTTTTTTTGGTGAAACATTCTTCAAGGTGATATAGCACTGCTCTGTGCATTGCTGTACAGAGGTAACTCGTGGTTGCTGTGATGCTAAACACTGTGACACTGATGTGCCAAATTTGATAATGGTTACCCATGGTGGACAGGGTTTGGTGGAGTTCCCCAATAAAAAACAAGCTTGGAAGCAGGAGTGCCATCCACTTCTGAAATGGCATGCCTCCAGAAAATCTATGAACAGTGCTCAGATCTTTTGTTCATAAGGTCACTATGAGTCATCTGCGACTCGAAGGCACCTAACAACAACAACAACAGGTTTCTCTCTAAGCAAAGCTTTAGCTGTATCTCACAAATTTTACTGTTATATTTTCATTTCCTTTGTGGTATCTTTTTTGACGATGTGTTATTTGAGTTTTAAGAGTGTATGTATATTGAAATAACTTTCTGATTTATAATTTAATTATGTTGTGGTCAGATAATATACACAGTAAGCAGAATTACAAAGACAGAAGAGGAAGAAAAGACCAAAATCGGTATCAGAAGAAACTCTGCACTGGAGCGCAGAGAAGCCAAAGCACAAGGAAGAATTCAAGATACTAAAGAGCTGAACAAAAGATTTCAGAAGGCAGCACGGGATGACACAGTAAAATATTACAATGAAATGTGCAAGAAGCCTGAGTCAGAAAACTGAAAGGGTCAAACTCGCTCAGCATTTCTTAAGCTAAAGGAACCAAAGAAAAAAGTCAAACCTCGAGTTGCTATAATCAAGGATGCTTTAGGCAGAATATTAAACTGATCCAGGAGGTATCAAAAGAAAATGGAAAGAATATACTAGTTCATTGTATCGAAAGGAATTGGCAGACACAGAAGAATTTAATGAAACAGCATATGAGCAAGAGCCTATGGTGATGAAGAAGTTCAAGTTGCTTTGAAGGAAGCAAAAAATAAGGCCCCAGGAATAGATGGTATACCAGTTGACATATTTCAGCTAACAAATGCTGCCCTGGACATGCTCACCAAGTTGTGTCAAGAAATCTGGAGAACAACCACCTGGCCGACTGACTGGAAGAGATCTATATTTGTTCCCATTCCAAAGAATGGTGACCCAACAGAGTGTGGAAACTGTAGAACAATATAGTTGATTTCACATGCAAGCAAGATTCTGCTGAAGATTATTCAAAAACGACTGGAACAGCAAATCAGCAGAGAATTGCCAGAAGTCCAGGCTGGGTTTTTAAGGGGTTGTGGTACTAGGGATATTGTAGCTAATGTTAGGTGGATCTTGACTAAAAGCAGGGAGTACCAGAGGAATGTCTATCTGTGTTTCATTGATTATGCAAAGGCGTTTGTGTGGACAATAACAAACTGTGGCTGACTCTGAGAAGAATGGGAATCCCAGAACACTTGATCATGCTAATGCGAAACCTATCCTTGAACCAAGAGGCAGTCGTCAGAACAGAGCAAGGAAACACTGTATGGTTAAAAATTGGAAAGGGTGTATGCCAGGGATGTGTCCTGTCTCCATACCTTTTCAACCTGTATGCAGAACAGATCATCTGGGAGGTTGGGCTCTATGAGGAGAATTGTGGCATCAGGATTGGTGGAAGAGCTATCAACAATTTGCGTTATGCAGATGACACAACCCTGCTTGCTGAAACTGAGGAGGACCTGAAGCGCTTGCTGCTGAGGGTCAAGGACTGCAGCCTTCAGTACGGATTGAGGCTCAATGTCAAGAAGACAAAGATTCTCACCACTGGACCAATTGGCAGCATCAGCGTGGATGGTGAAGAGATTGCGATTGTTCACAGCTTTAGTCTGCTTGGCTCCACAATCAACATTCTTGGCACCAGTAGCCAGGAAATTAAAAGGCGTATTGCGATGGGAAAGTCTGCTGCTAGGGACCTCTCTAAAGTACTGAAGAACAACGGTGTGTCTCTAAAGACTAAGGAGCATCTGGTATAGGCCAGACAATCTTTACAATCACTTGTTATGCATCAGAGAGCTGGACAATAACCAGGGAGGATAGAAGGAGAATTGATGCTTTTGAGTTTTGGTGTTGGAGAAGAGTGTTGAGGTTACCATGGACTGCTAAGAAACAGATTCATCCTGGAGAGGGTTAAACCGGGTTGCTCCTTGGAGGCAAGGATTCTGGGGCTTTGTCTGACATACTTTGGGCATGTTGCCAGGAGGGACAGGTCCTTGGAGAGGGACATCATGCTTGGGAGGGTGGAGGGCAGGCACAGGAGGGGAAGGCCATTTAGGAGTTGGATTGATTTGGTGACTGGGGTAATCGGGATGGGTGTGTCAGAGACAATGAGATTGGAACAGGATAGAACAGATTAGGGCTGTGTACATAGGGTAACTATGAGTCACAAGTAACTTGACAGCACATAGCAACAACAACATCATCAACAACAACTAGTATTCATACAAACCCCTCAAAGCTTCTGGAGCTTTTTACGGATGTCCCTGGCTGACTGAGACACAAAGGTGAGGTTAAGGGCCCTAGTGTTCTCAGGAATCATTGAATAAAAAAAAAAAAGGTGTACACTTGAAAAGTTTTGCAAAGTCTCTCCAAAAATTTCCAGTGTTCTTTTGGACCCTGCATTACTTTGGTAGTTTTGATTAAGTTGGTAGCTTTCTGAGCAGGTGCTCAGAGACCTGACAGGAAAGCTTGGGGGTATGCATCTAATGACTAGGACTCTGCAGTGTTATTGGGGTCCCACTTAGAATGGGTAACTGGCATGATTTTTTGTAATTGCTCACACCTTTCCTGAGTTGTGTCTGGGAAATTTTTTCAGGGTAGCTTTTTCAGCAGCAGAGAGGATACGCCTGCATTTAGGGAGGATTCAGAAGTTTCCTGGTCAGGCAGGACAGGCGAGGACTAGGTCTCTAGTTAGGTGTGAGTGGCCAGAGAAATTAAAAATCAGAGACTTTTGTTTTTTTATTGGACTAAATTAAGTTCATTCACCCCAGGGGAGAGAAGATGGTCTTTTCTAGATTTCCCCTTCTTTCTACTTTGTTTTCTGTTTTACTTAAGAGAGGAAACTAGCTCAGATAACATCTGAACTGAGGATAAGGATTTCAAGAAACATTGGAAGAGACCAAGGGTTTATTCTGGGTGGGCTTTCCAGAATCAGAGTCTACATATCAACAAGATCCCCTGGTATTCGACTTTCAGATTTTTCTAGCTGGGATTTTGTTAAAGTGTAGGTTCTGATTCAGTGTATAGAGTGGAAGGTTGAATAAGAATGACCTGGTTCAAAGCTCTAGAAGGGAAACATACGCCCCTCTTGCCTTCTGCAGCTCCCTGAATTCAGAGGCCACACAGGCATCTGCCTGATTGCGTCCCTCAAGGGAACTTAGGTCCATCTTGGCCTGTATAAATCTCAGGCCAGGTCACCCCACAAGCGAGGTGAGTCTCCATTATGCCATATGACGTGACCACAGTACTGCAGGTTAGGACCCAATCAGACTCTGTAGCTCTGGATTTCCTTGCCAAGGTTCCACACAGACCTGCTATTGCAGGCTCAAAATCACTTGACCAAGCGTTCAGAAAACGTTACTTTCCCTCCCAGTTAACCCACAGAGAGAGAAACAGACAACACAAACCAGAAACCTGGGTAAACCAGACCAAAACCTAGGGACTAACTGAAAAACTACGCCCGAGTTATGTCCAGTAGTCACGGTCAGTTTGCGTCTGAACTTCCTTAACAATTACAGGAACCAGAGTTACAGCGAGTCAGACTCACCAGA